CACCGCCACCGCCACCACCACCACCACCACCACCACCACCACCAACAGCAACAGCAACAGCAACAGCAACAGCAACAGCAACAGCAACAGCAACAGCAACAGCAACAGCAACAGCAACAGCAACGACAACAACAGCAGCAACGCCAGGCACCAGCACGAGCAACAGCAGCAGCAGCAGCGGCACCAGCAGCAGCAGCAGCAGCAACAGCGGCAGCAGCGGCCACAACCACAACCACAACCGGCAACAGCAACAGCAACACAGGCACCGACACCAACACGAACACTTGCAACACCAACAGCAAAGGCAACAACAAAACAACTACCATCAACTACCACAGCCACAACCACAACGGCATGGTCACAACCACAACCCAGGACGACGGAAACGATAACACAAGCAGCAGCAGCAGCAGCAGCAACAACAGCAGCAGCGACACCAGCAACAAAAGCAACGACGACTTGTCCCAGTGGCAGCACGTGATACCGGAGTACGTTCCACGGCTTGCGCTTACCTGCGATATTTCGTGTCATGGCACATGCTGCTGCAGAGGGTGAATAAAGCGGCACATGTTATGCCAGCACCAACAGTTTGCCGAAATCCCGGCTTTGCGAGATGCGATCAGTGCTTCTGCCTACTACGGGCCTAGAGTTGACCAGGGAGATCTCCTGTTTAAGCTGCAGAGATGACTGGCATAGCAATGTGTCTTAAACCCATGTGGCAACAGCAGTTTTCAATGCAACCTTTACGTGACACATCCGAAGTACAACCAACGGACATCTGTTGCCACAAAAATCCCCCCACCGAAATTCCCCAAAAACACCAAGCAGAAGCACGTGGGAAGCTCGCTTGGTGCCCCGAAGCTCCGAAGCCTCTCTGCTCTCAGGCATTTGGACCCACGGCTCCATCTACCTGAACGGCCAGGGTGCAGCCCTGGGCAAAGTCTGCCCACAGAACACGCCTTTCGGGATCTTCCGGGGCAATGCTACCCGGTGAGAGCTCTTGATGGATGGAAGGTGATTCTTGCGATCGGGGGCGAGTCTCTGTGTGAGTCCTGAAGGGTTTCCTCTTCGGTGCTGGGCAGTTTGAGTCGAGGTTCAAGCTTGGCATTCTGAATTCCGGCACTGGTGTCTCGTGTATGCCAGTCTGCGGCACAAAATAGTATTGCTAGTATGTTAGTTTTGCTTTATACATCCGTGTCTCCGATCTCTTAATCAACACTCCGCCACATGAAACTCAAACTGTTTTCCGGAGGATTTTGGTTGCAGGGCTTGGGGTTTACGTGGGTTGAGGCTTGTAGAGTAGAGGTTTGGGGCGCAAGCCTCTAGTTGGGTCTTTCCATTTAGTTTCAGGAGCTGCGATGCGCATGTAGGCAGGAGGGCAGGGGGAGGGGTCGAGTGTGCGCTC